GTGTGGTGAATACAGGGAAGATATTGGGGGCAACACAGATCTGATCCCTGAGCTAGTAGGGAAGCAACATATTGAGTAAATTTCTATAGTGTTATATACTTTTGAACAAAGTACTTCAAAGAAGAACTGTTAGGCACTATGGGAGGCCTAATCTATTTGAGGGGATTCACGGAAGATTTTACTGACATTAATGACACCATATTACCTTTTTTTTGGTGGTGCTAATTAAGTTTTTTTCTCTTCTTTTTTAGGAGTCATATTAAGCAAGAAATAAGTATGAAACAGTTTAGTATTATGTACGTAATTGAATATTATTCTTAATTTCCATACTAAGTCGTAATCAAAAGCTGCTAACGATTAGCCACACCACAGAATTAAATTTGAAAGTTTCTTTTTTGTTGTTTTGATATTTTTATTATGTTATCTTGAAAATCAGTGATTAGCTTGGCTTTGTTTAACCAGAAGAGTTAGGTACAGAAAAAGTTTAAATCTGTTGTAGGAGGTCAGAGGGGCGGGTGTGCCTTCCCCGAGGCTCCTGTCCATTGAGCTGCTGAAGACTCAGAGACAGCGTTACCCTTGGCTTTCACACATGGCACATCAGTGTCGCGGCAGGGCACATGGGCCAAGTTTTGTGGTTTCTTTTGACCTCACTCATTCTTTTTAGAGACAACATAACGTGATGGTGAAGAGTGCAGGTTCTGGGGTAAGAAGGCTTAGGTTTAAACCCGGGCCCTCCCACTTGGTAGCCCGGTACGCTCGGTGAGGCCCTTACCGTTTGGCGCCTCAGTCCTTCATTCAGAGACTGGACATGATGCGGCAACGAGTTGTGATGTGAGTTGTGAAAATTTAGATGAGTTAATTTATGCAAAGTGCTGAGAACCATGCCTGACAGTGAGGACTTGCTCAGTCGGGCTCAGCTGTTGGCTGTTTTTCCGCCACAAGTTTTTAGGTAAAGGATCCTTGGAGTGCAGGGAGGCTGGAAGCAGGGGAAAGAAAGTCGTCTATGCTTGGACTGCTCCCAGGACCCTGCCTTGACCCATTAAGCCAGCACAGTCTCCTTGCTGTGGGGATGGTGGAGCTGATGCCATAGGTATAGGTGATGATTTACATAGATCTTGTCCTGTGTTTAAGAATAAACTCTCAACCTACTAACTGTCCATATAATATGTCCTGGGGTTTAAAATGTTATTCTTTTCAAAGTTTTACAAAAAGACAAATTAATAGATGGAGGTCATAATTTGCTTTCTTTAAGCATTTCTAGTCACCTTTAACTTTCTATTTTCTAATGCTATCAAAAGGTATTAGATCATCTTAGAGAATAGCCACAAAAATATGCATGACTTGTTTTCTTAGCATTTCATGTTACTCTCGGTGGAGAGAACCTGGTATTATAACTTATTAACATCAGTGAGGTCTTGAACCCAGGAGAAGATATACTATTTATATAGAACAAGAATAAATGCCAGTGAGTAATTAATTTATTCGGAAAGAACTTATTGTGCTATGCGTGAGGCTGGGATCCTGGACAAAACAGGCTGTCTGTGCAGTCCTCTACAAAAGAGAATGCTCTGGAAGATTTTAAACCCACATGTGTGGAAGAACCTGAGAGGACATTTGGTCCAGCCTGTCTCCATCACCACAAGGGCCCTAAAACCCTGATTCCCTATAAAAGAATGTGGACTTAAGCCTATGTGTTATTGGGGCAGGGGGGATAGGAGAAGGTGGACTCTCAGCTTGATGTGATTGTTAAACATGGATGCCAAGAAATGAATGCCAGGAAGGGCAGGGAGTGTCCCTTTAAATCTGTTTTTAAATGCCAGTAGCTGTGGTGAAAGCTGTATTCTGCGTCAGAAGCCCTTAGGCTAATGCAGCCAGGATGTGGCCTGCCTGGTGGTGCTGAAAAAGACTTTTGCATTGAGAGTTGAAGGCTGATTATCAATTGGGTTGTCAGAAAAGTCATGACGTATTTTTTTCTCTGTTTTTCGTTGCAAAAATGTGTCATGACTTTTCGGAAAACCCAATATTTCCTGTATACTGGCTGTAATAATGGTTGTATTGGTAAACTACAAATTTGGTTCTTTTATTTTTGAAGTACAACTATGTCTCACTCACTCAAAGCAATTCTGATTCAGAAATAATAATAGCTTAGAGGGGGTCTGAATTAAAGGCTCTCTTCAGAAAGTTATAGGGAAAGGATTGCTTAGTTTTACAGTCATTCTCAGACATTTTGTAAATATCAAATTTTATGCTTTTATTCTTGGACATACAGGAGACAAAACCAGTTGAATTAATGACAAATATGATTAAAAATTTTTTTCTGTTTCACCTTGTATAGAAGCTTAAACTAAGCTGAATGTTGGCAAGTAGAAGTTTTGGGGTACATTCCTTAATAACTAGAAAATACCATTATTTCTAATACTTATATGTAAATAGGTGTTTATTCAAGGTTTAATCATTGTTATTGTATAATTATAATTTATGATGTAATTATATATGAAGTATGACAATTAAGTTTGCAAACTCATCCTAGAAAACGTGCTACATACTTCATTGCTGAATATAACTATGGTCACCTTCAAAGTACTCCCCTTGGGAAGCTATGCATTGACACCAGCGCCTAGTCCACCCTTCAAAGCAATTTTGGAACTCTTTTTCTGAATAGCCATCAGCGCTGTTGTCATATTACCCTTGGTGTACTGAATGTCATCAAAATGTCTTCCTTTCAATATTTTATTTATCTTTGGATAAAGAAAGAAGTCATTGGGGGCCAGATCAGGTGAGTAGGGACGGTGTTCCCAACACAGTTATTTGTTTACTGGCTAAAAACTCCCTCACAGACAGTGCCATGTGAGCTGGTGCATTGTCGTGATGCAAGAGCCATGAATTGTTGGCGAAAAGTTCAGGTCGTCTAACTTTTTCACGCAGCCTTTCAGCACTTCCAAATAGTAAACTTGGTTAACTGTTTGTCCAGTTGGTACAAATTCATAATGAATAATTGGTTTGATAGCATAAAAGGTTAGCAACATCATTGCAACAAGTTCGCGAACTTAATTGTCAGACCTTGTATAAAAACTCCCCAGGACCTGAAGTAGTGTCAAAAGAGGGTGCTGTGGAGCATACAGGCCATCCAGCATCTTTCAGACCAAGACAGAACATGGCATGTCATTGCCTCACTTGTCTGGATAGATAGCATTGCTCATCCTGTAATGGGTTCATGTATGTTCCGTCATTCTTAAGCATGGCAGTGCCATGACCCAGTGTGGGAGGGCCAGCACTCGGTGAAACAGGCTATAATGATGGGCAAGCCACTTTACCTTTCTGAGCCTTAGTGTTCATTTTGTACACTTATTTATAAATTAAAATAATTATGTTTAGATTAAGTTAACGCATATAAAAAGGTCTACGACTGTATTTGTCCCTCAGGGCCTACAAATGTTTGTGTGTGTTAAAAATCCATTGCAGACTCAACTGTGGGCAATCAATAGCTATTGTATTTATGAAACTAGGATTATAGTGTTTGCTCTTTACTACCTTATATGACCATGTAAGGCAGAGAATAGTGTGAGGAGAACGTTATCACAAATTTAAATTTGAACTAAAAGCTTTTATGTAGCTGCTGATTACTTCGTGGTTGTTGGACCGAGGTGTCCTTTTTTCCCTTAATTTCTCCCTTCTCACTGCCACCCCCAATTTAGAAATATTAGGTATGTTTTGGCTCAGCTTGCATTTGTCCAACTGGTGGAAGCAACAGCATGGGACCAGGAGAACCTTTTCTATTTTAGCCTTTTTAATGTTAATGTGTCCAAAATAAATGTAGTTTTGAAATTAAATGCTATAAACTAATCTTTTAAAGCCCTAAAAGCTATAACCTCAGCTTTCGTACCAAGAGAAAGGGAACTTAAAAAAAAACAATTTTGGTCATTTCAAAATCACAATATTTAGTTACCAATAAACATGGAGAAAATATTCAGCTTCAGTGGTAATAAAAAGAATATAAAACAAAATGATGCCAGACTGTTTTACCAATGACACTGGCAGTTTTTAAAATATAAGAGAAAGTAAGGGGGAGAGATGTTGAATCAGGTACTTTGCACAGGCTTATGGAAGTATAAATATGTGTAACTTGCCCCCCTCTAAGGCAATTTAACAATATTTATCAATTGCTGAGGAGATGCTAATGCCTTTGACACAGTAATTACATTTCTGGGAGCTTAGCCTAAAGAAATAATCAGAAATAAACATAATATAACATCAGGAACTTGGAAACAACCTAAATGTCCAACAATGGGGGATTGATTAAATAAAGTATGAAAATATATGCATTGGGCTCTTCTGCTGTTATGAATGGCAAAGTATTTGGAACAATAATGACAGAGAAAAAGATTTGTAATATAATGTAAAGTGAAAAAACCCAAATCAGCGTGAACCTAGTATTTTGAAATATAATTTATTTATACACACACTGTGTGTGTGTGTGTGTGTGTGTGTGTGTGTATGTGTAGTGAAAACAAAGAGTATATCAGAATAAAACATTATCTCTGAGTGATGGGAATGTTGGTGGTTTTTATTTCATTTTTTCTTTGGACTTTTCTGTATTTTCCAAATTATCATGCTTATAACCAGAAGAAAATCTATAATTAATAATGTATACTTTAGAATCCTTTGTACTGATACAGCCATATGAAAACATAAGGAAAGAAAGCCTAATGGGAATTGCAGCAGAATGCCATCTGTGACTTTTGGTAGGATGATGGAGCTTGGTATTTGTTGTTGTTTTGAATAGTATTTGATGTACTCCTGTTAAGAAGCACATTATCTTCTATTAAGAAAGCACATATAAAATAGATGTAGAAAAATGCTGTAGAATTCCATTCCACCTTTGAATAGAGGTTGTAATGACCAGATAATTCTCTGTGACCGTGGTCCATTTTGAGGATGATGAAAACTGTTGACTGTGGTGGTAAATGATAGTCTTTGTTTTTTGTTTTTTTGCTCCCTAGATATTCCTGAAATTCCAGAAAGCATCTCATTCTGTAAAGCACTACAGATAGCTGACTTCAGCGGAAACCCACTGACAAGGTAAACTTTCTGTTTGATTTTCTGTCTATAGTACCAAGGATATCTTTTTTGAGAACCAAGCAACGAACACAACCAGGGTACCCATCTTGGAGTTACCTGGATGGATTGCTGTCTTTATCAAGGATGGCTGACCTTCACAGATATTTATTTATAAATAACACTGTACAATGAAAGGCACACTGTGCTATTGACGGAACGTGGAAAGGATGTTGTTAGGGGTAAGCAGGCACAATGGAGGGTACAAAACAGAAGCGATGAGTACACTTCTGAAGCCATATGAAGAACTGAGCAGTTTATAAATCTCCTATTGATCCTGCTTATCTTGTGGGGTAAGACTTGAGTTTGAAACTCCCATAGAGCTTACCCCATAGTTAGCCAAGAAGTCCTATTAAAGATCTTTTTCTTCACTCCAGGAATGAATCATATTTAATATCTCATCTTTCCTCTAACTCTTCTTAAAAACAAAACAAAACAAAAAACCCAAAACTCTGACACCATTATCTCCTTACTTTAGCAATAGCTGTGAGGATTGCTTTGGGTTTATCCCTCCAGATAGAGCCACCTGTCACTGGCGTACTGCTGAGTCCAGCTTTGCCCTTCCTGCAGGTATGACACTGCATGCTGCCTGGGCATAGCTGAGTGGTATTGTCATGAGCTCCTCATTGTGGCTCCCAGCTCCATCATGAGCCCCCTGACTGCAGGATCCCAAGGTCCTGTGTGCACACATAGCGATGCATAACCAGCCCTAGAGAGACTGTTCCAGAGGTCTCTTCGGGGCCAGGTGGGTCCATTTCTAAGATTCTCAAGACAGTGTAAGAGACCTCAGAAGAAAAGTTCTCTTCCCTCCTTTTTTTTTTTTTCCAGGATATAGGAAAATAAAGATTAAATTAAAATTTGGGATTCATCTCACCCATTTCAAAATGCTTGTGACTTCCTGGATATGGAGTGCTAGGGAATGCTTTCCATATCTGCTCATGTCGAAGAAGTAAATGCATTTTTTAGAATATTTCTGGATTCCCTTTTTTGAATTTCAGTGATTAAGATACTAATAACATGTATTTATTTTTATGAAAAATAGTGATCTAGTAACTTTTAACCTAATTGCTTTCTAACTCATCGCTGTCCTCAAGCCTTATCCTCTTTCTTAACCGTTATCTATACTATGGTCCCTCTTCTTCAAACCTTTCAGTAACTCCTGTTCCTATAAGTTGAAGTCCAAGCTCCAAGATAGGCTGTGCAAGCCTCTCCTATACCCCCCAACCTTGGTCTGTCTTTCCACCCTCATTGTCCTCAGTTGCCTGTGTCAAACATCATGCTCTGCTATAATACAGTGCTCGTAGGCCTTTCATTTCGCACCTCCCTCTTTTTGATGATGCCAACCATTTCACCCTCCTATAAGGTACGGTTCGAACATCACATGTCTTGATTCATCACCACGGTCCCCCCTCCTCTGGTCTTTTGTAGTGCTCTGGGCAGGCTTATTTCCCAACACTTGAAATTGACATTTAAGCTATTGCTTTGACCAAGACTCCCCAACTAGACTGAGAGAGTTAACTTGTATTCCTCTGTTATTCATTGTTGTATCTCCAGCCCTACCTCAATTTCTGGAATGGAGTAAGCACTCAATAAGTGTTTGTTGAACTCAGCTAAGCTATTTATTTATCCTTAAGGCAACTAGTAGAGTTAGGCAGCTGGGAAATATTCATTATGCTGCCCTTGAGTTTTCTTAACCATTCAATTGCTTAATCCCCTTTTCTACTTCTTTAGTTTTCCTTTGATAATGTCTCCTGACAAATGATTTTTACCTTTGCCTCAAAACTCTCTCACCTAGAACACACCCACATTGTATGGGGATTTACTGGGATTTACCCTGTCCTCATATTTGGCAGGTTTCTTAAAGTAAAGCCCTTTTAATTTGGCAGGTACACTGTTTTAAGAATTAAGACAGTATCGGTGAGTTGAAGGACCTTAAAAATCATTTAGCTTGGCCTGTTTATTTTACAGCTGAAGAAACTGAGGCTCAAAGAGGTTAAATGACCTTTCAAGATCATGCAGCCTTTAAGTGGCCTCTCAGACTAGAATTCCTTTCTCTTAACATTGTGCTTTCTCAACATATCATACTAGTTTGGCTCTTGATGTTAATAGCCAGTAAGAAAAAAAAAAAAGAAGGAAAATCAGCCATTTAAAAATAAATTTTTCTTACACTTAAGGTCATTTTACCTCGTTTTAAAAAAATTATAAAATGATATATACTTTCTGGTAAAAACTCATGCAGAAAAGATAAGTTGCATCTTTTTTATTATAAATTAAAAAATTTACCTCTGTTAGGCTATGGAAGAGGTTTTAACTTTGTAAAAACCATTGCTAAGAATGTTTTTCAATGATTATGAAAATTCCAGTTAATACTCTCATTTTTCAGGTCCTGGAGTTGGTTTTGAACTTTGGAATTATCTATATTAAATGTCAAACAGTCACCTAGGATTTGTTGGTTTGTTTGTTTTTTTCAAAAGGACTCTGGAAAGAGGAAAGAAATGAAAGATTCTAATCTAGAGACTATCACTAAAGCAAGAAGTTTTCTCCTGAGCCCCCTAAATGGATTATGTGTTCTGTTGTCTATATTAACAGATTTATTAGGACCTTCAGCATTTTAGATGCAATGAGATCTTTTTTTCCTTCAGTTAGTTTTTTTTTTCTCCCCTAAATACTGGTAACCATAGAAATACTGTAAGTAAACTTTCTTTGTAAGTTTTTAAATAATTTATTTTGAAAACTCATTATTCAGTAAAGCTTAAGGGAAGTATAAAAGATGTCCTTTTGTGTAGAACATAGTGCAACATATAATTATCTCAAGCGATTGGCATCTTAAGTCAAATTAAAAGAAAAATATTAAGAAAGTAGCAGTTGGCTGTCAGCTGATCAATTCTAAGTAATTCACAGCTTTGCTCTGGGTATTATAAGCTACAGGAAAAAAATATATCTATTAAGCAGTTGTCCCGTGTTTTATTATAATCTTGTGGGCTTAAATTTCTCTTTATTTTCTGCTAATCAAAGTATTTTCACTCTTGGCACTTTTAGCTGCAGTCACCATCCTTTTCTTTCATAGAGCACTCAGTCTCACAACATTTTTCCCCTTTATTCTTACAACTTGCATATTTTTCCTCTTTAATTATTTCTGGATCAGCCTACCAACAAGTATTTATCATGCCCTTGTACTTCTAGGTAGACCAAGTCCTTGGTTTTCTGTTTTGTTTTGGTTTTTTCCTTATAAGTGTGTGATACATAAAAAGCTGAGGCAAACATGCCATACATATACAATGTAATTTTAGGAGGTTATTTCAATTAGCATATAGAAGAAATAATTATGATTATATTCAGTATATACTATTATGCACTTTTATTTTTCAATTAACAAGTTTTGTTTGTTTATTTCAGATTACCAGAAAGCTTTCCTGAATTACAGAACTTGACATGTCTTTCTGTAAATGACATCTCATTGCAGTCTCTACCTGAAAATATTGGCAAGTAAGTTTTTATGTCGCGTTTGTGTATATGAGGGCAAAAGGGTGTTTATATACATCCACTCTGCCCTCCTGCCCTTATTCAGCTCTTATTTTTCTACTCAGAAACCCGTTGACCCAGTTTTCAATCTCACTCTCAGGAAGGACCATAGCCAGCCTCCTGTGTTTTTACATCCTGTTGCCCCTACATTCTAATGGTTAAAAAGGATGTTACTACTTATTACCAGTGAAAACCTTAATTTGTTTGGATGTTCTCTTTGAATGAATGATTCCGAAGTATTTAATTTAAGCAAAGTAGCGTGTGTGGTATAGGTGGTTAGTGAATAGTTAGAATCGACCACTCACAGTAATTTTAAACCATGCCAGGGAGGAGCGCCAACAAAGGCCTCCTCTGAGAATGTAGAGCACATGCCCCCAAACAACAGCCGTGTTTGCTGGTGTGTGCACAAACACACAGACCTGAGCTCCGCAGACCTGAGCATAGGGATTGGGGATGGTGTGTTTGGCGAGCAGGCATGCAATGGGGAGAGGGATGCAATGGGGTGGACGCATTTCCACGTCACTGGCTTCTAAGTTGGGGAGGATGGCCCCGTGGCAAGAAATAAAATCCTTTGAAGAAAATACATGCTGGTGAATAAGTGTTCTGTTATGCCTTCTCAGAGGTGAATTAATTGAATGATCTCAGCAGCTCTTTTCCATACCTCCAGGACATACAGTGGGTGAAATCAGGCCTATGGCTCATGCCTAACCACCTAAACAAAAGCCCAACATGGCTGACCTAACCTGGTGGACCCGTGTTCCTAGTGTCCTACAGGATCTCCCTAGTGTTTTCCTGTCCTGCCTCAGTTCTAAGACAAGACAGAAGCTTGCTTTGTGACAGCTACAGTGTTTCTGGCACGTGTCTGTTCTGCAAAGTTTCCCTTTCCAGAGGCCTCCAGAAGTTTCTGACAGACAGCTTTGTCCCCTCCTTTCCCTCCTGTGTGGGCAGAAGACAACTGGCTGACGGTGCTTCAGCCCGCAAGTCCCTGTTTTTCTGAGCTGCACACTGTTGCCTTACGACCATTTTGCCAGTAGACTTGTGGATTAGGAATTGTGCCCTTCAGCTCTCAGGAGCAGAAGGAGGCAAGAAGCTCCCTGTCTACCCTGAGCTTATGGTATCGGTTGCAGAGGAAACAGCAGTGTTTTCCTGTGCATTTCATGCTCTTACACTTCACTTTTGCTGTGTCAGGCTTCATATGTTTCTAATTCATGTAGTAGTCAGTCATTCAAATACCCAAACTTACGCTGTCCTCCTCCTGTTCCTCACGGTCTCGGGAATATAATTCCCTTGCACCCGCCCTCCCGTTCTTTCTCAGCCTATCACTGCCCTTCTATCCCCTGGTTCATATATTTTCAAAAAGGTTTAATGTTTTGAGAGAAAATATGTTCTTATTAAATCAGAGTGCCTCTCTCACTCCCCACTGCATTGTTTGAATGGAAAATGTTATTTAATAATCCTTTTAGAATAAATTGCAATATTTTACATCCTACCTTTTCTGTTAATATCTGTACCTGTTTTTGCCAATGTTCAGGATTTCTCATGCCTATGCATTTTTTATCAATAATAAGGGTAGTGGGTTTTTGTTGTTGTTGTTGGTTTTGTTTTGATTTTAGCTTTAATCAGCTTGTGTTACTTTTATAGCCTTATGTATACTGATTGTTTCCAAAATAAAAGGCCACTTTGAGCTTGAACTCTGTGGTGAATTATCGTCCAAGACATAAGAATAGTGGGGGCGTGGGTCAGATAAGTGAATAAACTTATTTTTATTAGGTTAATTTGTGAAATTAAATGGGAAATAGAGAGCTTCCTATTCCTGACTCTTAATAATTTTTGTGACCATAGCAAGAGACTCCATGATTTCTACCTGTTGGAGCTAAGATTTATGCACACTAAAGCAATAGCCTGTTTGCACTTAGTAGAAAGAAACATTCAAAGAATGGACTCCTCTTTGGAGAAAGATTAGGCACCTCTGGTGTCCTAGACCTTGCTGAAAAAATACTTGAAAGTTGAATTGGTGTATTGGTGAGGAAATCTCATAAATGCATAAATATACTTCTACATTTAAGCAAATCATTATTTGAAACTTAACTTTCCTCATGGAAAAGATTCTTCAATTTCCTAAAGAATTCCCAAATGGTTTCTTTAGAACATTTAACTAAATATTTAGTAACCAAACAACTTCTCACAGTATGGTTTTGTAAACAAGGTACAAATATTTGATATTCCAAAACTTTGTAAAGGAAATGAAATGGCCACTTGAATAATTGATACTTACTGTTGTCTTTGTGGATTTGGAGGTGGTGGCTTTTGTATACATTAACCCTGCTTGTTTGGTTAAATGAGTCAGCTACCTCAGTGTGCGTCTTTTGAGCATGGGTGAAACCAGGACCTCTGTTCCTCCTTTTGCCCCCTAGCAAAGGATGTGGCATTAACTATGAAAGCTATGGACTTCCCCAGGGCTTGGGCACCCTCAAGATGGGCAGGAGTGTCCAGCCTGGAGAAGAGAGCCAAGCTTTTATGTAGAACAGACAGACTTGCAGCACCTCAAAGCTGGGGCACCTCAAGCATCAGCCCCATCATGAGTTTGATTTGCGCAGTCAGCCTGAAGAATGTTTGCGAGTTGATGGCAGAGCTAGAACTGGAATAGGGCTTCCCTGGTCCCCATCCTGTGTTTGTGCACTACTCCCCCCCCCACCCAATCCCCCCCCCCATCACCATAAGACAGTTCCCAGGACCCTTAGGGGCCCAATAACTTTTATTGCCCCTAGAGATATCTCATAGTTCCGTTTATTAAGTAGTTAGGTCCAAACAACTTGGTAAGTGTTTTTCTAACAACCTAGTAGCTGTTTGAAAAAGTAGTACACACAAATTGAAAGAGTAAATATTTTTATTTCATTCTTAAACATCCCCAGTCATTTGCTAGGGGATGTAATTACCTGTTGGTCACTGCTCAGCTTCTCAAACGGCACCTCATTTCCTTTGCTACCTTGATTTTCACCTGGCACCTGCCTTTTATCACAGCAGTTGCTGAAAACGCAGCTTGCAAAGATATGATGTCCTGCTCTGGAATGTGACTCTGAACCACCTGAGCTAATAGTTCCCGTGGTGACTGACAGACCTCAAGTCTCGCTCGCTGTTTCTTTCAAGTGTAATACTCCGTGGTGCTTCTGTAGGCTGGCTGCAGCTTCCCTGGGCTCCTGGTGCACAATAGCCATCATGTTGCTGTCGGGAGTACTGGAGCGCACACACCGTTAGGAACGCCTGGGTGTGCACAACGTCAGCCTTTGGGGTGTGGGAAGAGACCCGGGAAGCACGGCGTTCACGTCCTGTACTACGGGGCTTCCCGCCAGGGGGACCCTTCAGTGTGGCTCCTCGAATATAGCGAGTCTCTCAAACAACAGAATCTTTATAACACTTTGTAGTGAGATGAGGAAGGATCATGAAGCTCTTTTGAACCACACTGGCTACCTCATGCAAAATCACACTTTTTTTTTTTTTTTACTAAAAGTATTCTAGATTTGCTGACTGTTTGCTGTGATGGTTCATCAGCACCTTACTCGGTCCTTCAACGTAAAAGTGATGTTTAACACCGAGTGAGAAACGAACTCACCTTCAGTGGACTTTCTAAACCCTTTAGTTAAAAATACAAAACTGTAACACCTTCTCTTTAGTCTTCATGAACCAGTGAATGACATCAGGTAGTTTATCTGCCGAATTTTAACAAAGACTTTTCCATAATCAGAAGAAATTTATAAAAATTAGTATGATTTAATAAATGCAGGTGATGATGTTCTTTTGGATCAGTGTAGCTGTGTGAAGTATGTTTTTCATCTGTTACAGCCATTAAACCAAGTATCAAAACAAACAATTTAGAAATAACTGTTTTGTCCTCAAAGGTAAAACGAAAAATTTAATCCATAATACTGTATTTTCAATCCCAGTGCTCTCACTAATGAGAGTTAAAAAGATTTTTGGGTCTTTACTAAAATATTTAAAAATATTTCTTCTTTTGTTTTATTTATCTTCTACTTAAAATGTTTCGATTTTGTATATAATTTATAATATATACAATATATTGGTACATAGTAACATCTATATATTTTTTAAATAAACGTAAGGATTGGGAAGATATACTCTTAAATGTACATAGAATAGAATGTTTGGAAGTCAAGCTCCTGACCAGGGGTTCTCAAACTCGGCTTCATCAGGCCCCGGGGATTCCACTGAAGTCCCTCCAGGGCATTGTGGAGAGTGAGAGCAGTGCTCTAGTGGGTGGTCCCTGCTGATTCCTGTTTGCGTCAGAACAGCTCTATTATTAGCTTTTAAATTTTTGTGTGTGTTGGTGTTTCATATAATGTGTGTTTGCTTTAACAAAGTCTGCTGCAAATATTTTTCAGGTTAAGTTTGGAGACCACTGTTTGAGACGCTTGATCGTACTTGTTTATTGTATAATAGCAGCATGCATTGTGGAGTTTTTACAGTGATGTAGGTCTGTTCAAACCGAGCAGAAAGCTTCCAAGCCTTTCATGAAAGTGAACTTTAAAAATTTTTAAACCGCCTCCTCTTTTCAAACCGGCTGAGGTTTTCCCTTACTTAATGTTCGAAAAATCTACCTCTTTTGTCCAGCCTTGTCCAGTGATTGGCAGAGGTGAAATAGATCCCAGTTTTGCAGGTTCCCTGATCTTACCACCCTTTACTTCCCACACAATAAGCATCTTAGTCCTTTGTACACAGACGTCTAGTTGTTTAGTGTTTGTGTGTGTGTGATTAGTGCGTGCACCTGGATCACCTTGTATGCTGAAACAGTGGGGGTATCAGTTGTAGAACTCTCTTTGTGTTTGTACCAGACCTGGTGTTGCTCTGACATACTGAACAAATACGTGTGACAAGGCACACAATGTTACCTCCTACACCCTGGTAGCTCCCAACTTGCCATCCTAGGTAATCCAGCTAGGTTCTGGAAG